ACAGAGAGGCCGTCGGATACCCTGGGACTGGAGTTACCGAAGGTTGTTAGCTGCCATGCAGGTGTTGGGATTTGAAACCGCTCTTCTGCAAGAACAGTCAGTGTTCTTAACCCTTGAGTCCCCACTAAATCAGTAGCAGTACACTCTAAAATAATGATGGGGCGGGTGTGGTGGCACACGCCTGTAATCCCAGCACTTGGGAGGCAGAGACAGGCGTATTTCTGTGAGTTCAAGGCCAGCCTGGTCTACATAGTGAGTTCCAGGACAGCTGGGGCTACAGGGAGACCCTGCCTCAAAAATACAAAAAATAAATTAAACAAATAAATAAATAAATAAATAAATAAATAAATAAAATAATGATGGGAAATATAGTATAGTTAATACATAAACGAGTAACATAGTTGCTTACCATTGTCAAGCATTATGTATTCTACATAACCGTGTGCGCTCCACTCTACACTTTTATACCCTTGGGTTTATTTGCACTAGTATCATCACAAGCATAAGTAATGTGTCTGTGCTATGAGAGTGTGATTTTTTTCTTCTTTTCTGACAGTGTGATCGTTTTAACACCACTGGGCAATAGGAATTTTCTAGCTTATCTCTGTTCTAATCTTATGGGACCACCATCATATGCTTGGTCAGCTGTGGACCAAAATGCTGTTATGTGGTACAGGACTGTGCTGTGGCATTACACTCCACATTCTTAATCCTAAATTCCAAGCCTTCTTTCACCTACAGGCAGATTGAAGCTCATTGCACCGTTTTCATATAATTACTGATCCATTGGCACCTAACTCACAGTCTCCCGTTTCCGTTTTGTTGGCATGGATGAAGTGCTAACCTTTCACTTGGAGTCTTGGACTTGTCAAGGACTCTACCACTTCTTTTCTCTTTTCTCTAGGATGTCACCAATTTTCCCCTCCTTTGGAAATCAGCAACATTGATATTTCCTAGTATCTTCAGTCTGTATTTTGATTTGAGACAGGGTCTCTCACAGTAGTCTAGGCTAGCCTATAATTCACAACTATCCTCCTACCTCAGCCTCCTGTGTAGCTTCAATCTTAAGAAATAAAAGACAAAGAAAGCCCCTCCACGACTTACCCTTCACTTGTATTCTAATATCTGCATGGCTGACTCTGCCCGTCCATTGACTTTTCACACCAGCCTAATAAATCTCTGCAAAGCGGTATTGGATAATTTTTCATTTTTTCTTTTATTTAAAAAATTACATTTTATTGGCTGGGCATGGTGGCACATGCCTTTAATTCTATCACTCAGGAGGCAGAGGCAAGCAGAGCTCTGTGAGTTCAAGGCCAGCCTGGTCTACATAGTGAGTTCCAGGACAGCTGGGGCTACATGTCTCAAAAAGACAAAAACAACAACAACAACAACAACAAAAAACCCAAAACAAACCAAAAAACCCCCATTTTATTTATTTATGTTGTATGCACATGCATGTGTTTATGTGTGTGGGGGCATGTGTGTGCCACAGCTTACATATGGAAGACAGAGGACAATTTGGGGGAATCTGTCTTTGCACCATGTGGGTCCTAGGGATCAAATTCAGGCATCAGGCTTAGTGGAAGGCACCTTTACCTGATGAGCCATCTTGCCAGTCTTCCACATTATTTTATTATTCATTCATTCATTTATTTATTTATTCATTATTTATTTTTATGTGTATGAGTGTATTGCCTGCATGTATGTAAGTGCACCCATATCATGCAATGTCACGGTGGTCAGAAGAGAGTGTCAGATTCCCCTGGAACTGGAATTATGGACAGTTGTTAGCCGCTGTGTGGGTGCTGGGAATTGAACCTGGGTCAGATGTGAGAGCAGCCAGTGCTCTTAACCTTTAGCTATCTCTCCAGCCCCTCCTCCACATTATTTTTTAAGAATAATTTTTGAGGGGCTGGAGAGATGGCTCACCAGTTAAGAACACTAAATGTTCTTACGGAAGACCCGGGTTGGAATCCCAGCGCCCACATGGCAGCTAACAACTGTCCATAACTCCAGTTGTAGGGGATCCAACAACCTCTTCTGACCTCCACAGGCATTGCATGACATGGGTGCACTTCCATACATGCAGGTAATACACACATACACACAAAATAAAAATAATAAGGAGTTGGAGAGATGGTTCAGCAGCTAAGAACACTGGTTGTTCTTGCAGAAGACCTGGGTTTGAATCCCAGCACCCACCCACATGGCAGCTAACAACTTGTCCTAACTCCAGTCCCAGGGGAGCCAACAGCCTCTTCTGACTTCCGCGGGCATTGCATGACACGGGTGTACTTACCTACATGCAGGCAATACACACATACGCATAAAATAAAAATAATAAAGAAAATAAAATAAAGAAAAAAAATTTTTTTTTTGTCTTTTTTTTCAAGACAGGGTCTCCCTGTAGCCCCAGCTGTCCTGGAACTCACTATGTAGACCAGGCTGGCCTTGAACTCACAGAGATCCACCTGCCTCTGCCCCCCGAGTGCTGGGATTAGAGGCATGTGCCACCACGCCCAGCTAAAAGAATACTTTCGGAGTTATTTTTATTTTTTGTGTATGAGTTTGTCCTGCATGTACGTTAAGTGTACCTGTGTGTGTAATGCCTACAGAGGTCAGAAGAGGGCGTTGGATCCCCTGGGACTGGAGTTTCTGCCATGTTAGCTGCCATGTGGGTGCTAGAAACTGAACCCTGGTCCTCCACAAGAGCAGCCAGTACTCTTAACCACTGAGCCATCTCTTCAGCCCATACATTATTATTATTATTGAGACATAGTCTCTCACTGAACCTGTAGCTTACCAATTCAACAAGACGAGCTGGCCAGCAAGCCTCAGGGAGCCTCCTGCCTCTACTTCCTTAGCACTGGGATATAGGTGTGCACCTGGCTTCTTTTAAAAAATATTTTATTTATTATTATTTTTAAATATATATATATATTTGGTCTT